ATATAATTAATAAATTATGAATTAATTCAATAAATTGTTAAAGTAATTTTAAGCACAAGATTCGTCGAAAATTCATAGAAAATCACTTATTTTGTAAAAAATTAGTATTATTAGACAAAAATTATATCATTGTAAGAAATATAAATACAAATAATTAAATAATATCATAAAATAATAGAGAAAATACCAAATACTACTTATTATAATGCATTTAATATTTTTTGTATAATTTAATAAAGAAATACATGAAAATATAATACTATACTATATTTAAAATACTAACTGTATTCTATTTGGTTAATAGTAAAAATTAACCTTTATCTGAATAATTATAAAATTTTCCACAGATTAATTTTTTGATTTTAAAAATAGTAATAATTTTGATATATTTAGCAGTCTATTTTATGCAATATTTTCTTTAAGACTATTATTCTAAGAAAAAAATAAGAAACACTTGAGTCTTTTTTTTGTATAAACAATAGAAAATTTTAAATGAATAATATAAAGATAAAAGAAAATAAAGTATAATAAAAAGAATATAAACATTATAAAAAATAAAGCATTGAATAAAAATAATTAATTATAATATAAATAATATTAATTTAAAAATAAAAATTCATTTATTTATAAAATTAAATATAAAATAAGATATAAATTAATAATAATTTAAATTAATAAAAAATAATTTAAACAATGACTTAATTAATAATTTTCTAATTTTTTTATTAAAAACATCATTATTCAAAAAAATCATAATAAAAATTATTTATAAATATTAAATATCATAATATTAGAAATTAAAAAAAATAATTAATAAAATATGAAAAATTTTTAAATACAATTAATAAAAATTGAATAAAAATAAAATAAAATAAAAATAAATAAAAAAAATATATATATTTTTAAAAATAAATTTTACATTATTTTAATATAATAAATAATATTTATTTACATTAAATTTATAAATTATTAGTTAAATTTAATTTTTTTCTTAAATATCAGTATAGTAATCCAGAAAATTATTATTGTCTTAAATAAATAATTATTAATTTTTATCTTTGATATTTATTTATAAATATATATATATATATATATATATATTTATATTGTTTTTTAGTAATTAATTTTATTTAATTATTTTATTATTATCAATTATTTTATTGATAATATATTTTACATTTTACTATTATTTATAAAATATTAATGAAATTTTAAAATATAATTATTTATAAATTCATTTATAATTTTTTTTTTTCTATAATATAAATTTATAATATATATTTTATATCTTTTTTATTTATTATTAAAAATCTTTTATTATATTATATACTTTTTTTTTTTGATATTTTATATTGAGATAAAAATAAAAATATGTTTATACTAATTCAATTTATATTAGTAAATTTTTATTCAAAATAATTTAACTCTAAAATAAAAACTTATATTTAGTAATATTAGAATTTTAAGTATAAAATAATTTAAATAATTAAAAATATTTTTATAATAATGTATTTATATTTAATAAATTAAAAAAATATATATTTTGATATAAAATATATTGTTCTATCATTTTTTTCATATAATTTATTTTTTAATTAAAGTCTTTATCAAAATTTTTAATAAATATTATTAAAATAATATTAAAAAACTTTAGGTTATTTTATATTAATTTTATTTCCTACTAATTAAATGTTTTCAATCAATATGAAAAATAATATTAAAATAATATTCAAAATAATAAATGAATTAATTTATAAAGTTTTCATTTTTATTTTTTTTATAATGAAAATAAAAAATGTTAAAATAATATAAATTAGTTCTTTAATTTTAACTTTAATTAATAAAAAAAAAAATAACTTATAAATTTAAAATTTTGTTGTAAAATAAATAAAATATAAATATTTAAATTTATTTTACAAAATGGTAAAAATTTTTAATTTAATATAAAATTATCGACTTTATTAATAAACTAAATTAAATAAAAAAATTATATAAATAATATTTTTACATAAAATAAAAATAAATATTAAATGTGTTGGTTTTATTTTTTTAGTCTTTAAATAAAATTAATATAATAAGATAAGAATTAAATTTATATTTAATTAATTTCATATTATTATAGTATAATTTCAAAAAATAATAATTATTATATTATTTTTTGAAAAATATTTTTCTTTTAAATAATTATATATTTATATATTAAAATATTTATATATTTATATATATATTTATATATTTATTTATACATTTATATATTTATATATTTTATATTTATATATTTTTTTTTTATATTAATTAATTAAAATTTTTTATATAATTTCTTTTTTCTTTTTTATAAAATACATTTTTTTGTTTTAACATAAGTATATATATTTAGATTTTTAAATAAAATATATATTTTTTTCATTCTTATATTTTTTTTATTTTTTACAATTTTATTTTTTATTATATTAATTTTTTTTTATATTTATTATTTTCTTGTTATAAAATGAAATTAAAATATTTATTTCTTTATTTCTAATATTTACTATTGATTTATTTCCTTTATACCTAAAATTATGTAAGAAATCAAAAAATTCAGTCTTATTTATTAATGAAATTCAAAATATGTGACATTGTAAAGCTAGCATTGATTAGTTCTCTATCAGAATTTTATGTCAGCTTGTATATGTCATTATTTAGTAGAGAATGAAAGGTTATGATAGAAAAACTCTAGATAATAAGCATACTTTATATAAAATTTCATCTATTATAGTTTATATTGATAATATGTATTCATTTTGTTGTTATGTTTTTTTTATGTAAATATTTCCTTAATATGTTTTGTTATTAATATTTGCCTATTAGTTTTCATAAAGAATTATATTCGACTAAAATTAAGACCACGAGAGTTAGACCGGCTAATTATTGAAAATTTAAATGGAATTGTTAAAATAGACTATTCTTTACTTATTATCCTTGTTGATTGATTTTATTATTCCTTATTATAATTTGGATAGGGAGTTAGATATATATATTAATAAAAAAATTAATAAGAAAATTCTTTTAATTAATTTTCAATGGAGGATGATTCTATTTTTAATATTTTTATTCTTATTTATTTTTTTAAGTAATTTAAATAAAACAATTAAAAATTATTTAGTTAGTTTTTTTTTTTTTAACTATGCCTTTTTAATTAAATTAAATTATATACTAAAGTATTTTTTTTTATAAATAATTTTATACTCTATATTATTTAAATTCGCTATTTAAACACACAATTTTTTACTTCTAAATTAATTGCTATAAATATTTAGTTTAAATTTTTTATATTAAACGAATTTCCCCTATTTCAATTAGGTCATCAAAATAAAATGCCCTTAATTCTGATAAACTTAAACCAATTAAAATTATGTCGAAAAAATGTATAATGAATAAAATAAACCATTAATATAAATCTTAAGAAATCAAAAAATAAAAACTGTTGAAAGAAGAATATATTAAAAAAATAATAAAAATTAAAAGCAAAACTCCTATTAGCTCAATTATTTGCTTTAAAGCCTAAATTTTATATATATTACTATTTTAATTATAATAATATTCGATAAAATTGCTAAATAAAAGTTAAGAAGTATTTTCTAAGAAACAGTACAATATTAGGTAAAAATACAATTAAAAAAACATTGAGAATACTGATTTAAATTAGTATTGAGTTAATCTTGAGATTCGGCTTAATTTTTTGTTAATCAAAAAAAAGTGGATGCTTCTAAATTTTATATATTCTTACATATATATAAAAAAATTAATATTTTTTTAATTTTATTCATTAAATAATTTATATGGTCTTAATTTTTATTAAAGTTAATCTTCTTTAGTAATTTTTAATAATTATTAACCTTTATTTTCATAATAAATAATAATAAAAAAAAAAACTTATTTTTATATTTATTTTAAAGGATTATATTTATTATCTATAAGAATATATTTATTTATTAATTTTAATAGTATTATATTTTTAATTTTCAGCACTTTATATTATTAATCTTTTAGTTTTTATTATTTGGCATTTTTTATATATATATTGTTATAAATTAAAATTATTATTCTATTACTATTTAAATTTTTTTTTTTTTCAATATTTAAGAATAATTGTAATTTAGAAATTAATCTTTTTTGTTAAAAATCAGTATTTTAAAATTTATTAAATTTGTTATAACATTATATTAGTTCGAAATTTGTTATTGGATTTTATTATCTTAAATATTTTATTTATTAAGTCATTCATTTTAAATATTTAAAACATAATTATTATTTCTAACTTTATACTCGAATTATATTTCTTGATAAGCTTTTTGTTATTAGTTTTTCATAATATTATTATCATATTGACTTATTCTTATTTTATTAAAAAAGATTTTAAAATAAATGCGTAAAATTGTTATAATTTAACATTATTATGTAAAATGATTTAAGCAATTATAAAAGAAAGAAAGAAAGAAAGAAAGAAAAAATATTTTAATAAAAGATAATTTTAATCTTTAAATATAATTTGATTTTTAATCTATTTTATAATATTTTTATTTTAATATATTAATTAATAGGTAAAATACATAAAAATGAATAATAATATATTTTTTAATTTATAATTTATTTTTAAAAAATTATTATAAAATTAAAATAAAATAAAAAATTAATGAAAACATAAATAAATGTAAATATTTTAGTGAAAAGCATCCAATTAAGTAAATATAATTATTAAAAAAAAGGCTTTATTATTAATAAAATAAAATAATCATATATATATTGATATAAATTAATATTTTTTTTAAAACCATTATTAAATAATTAAGTTTTTATATTTTTTTTAAAAATAAAAATTTAAAAATAAAATAAGGAAAAATTATTAAATAAATAATAAATATTAAAATAGTATTAAAATGGGACAAATATGTTAAAAAGTATGCCATCCACCATAGTCAAATAAAACAACATTTGAAAATAGTAAAAAACAAGCGGAATCAAAAATTCTGCTTATAATGAAGAATTAGATACTCAAATTAAAAAAAATTTAAACCAGATATCCCAAGAATAAAGAATAAGTCCACATAAACCTAAAATTCCTCATATCTTTAAAGAAAAGTAGTCAAAAGATCAAGTAAATTAAAAAGATTTTGAAAAACTAGACAATTTAGGAGAAGGTGCATATGGAGATGTAATTTTAGTTAAAAAGATATCAAATAATAAAATATTTGCAATGAAAATAATAAAAAAATCTAAAATAATGGAATAAAGTTTAAACAGAAAAATGCTAATTGAACGAAAAGTATTATTAGAAAATAAAAATCCATTTATTGTTAATTTAAAATATTCATTTTAAACAGAAAAAAAGCTTTATTTAGTAATGGAATATTGTAAAGGAGGTGAATTGTATTCATATATAGCAAAATATAAAAAATTTCCTATAGAAATAGCAAAATTTATATGCGCGGAAGTTATTTTAGGTAAATATATATAAAAACATATATGAATATAAATAATATTAGGACTATAATATTTACATGAGAAAATGTAAATTATGTATAGGGACTTAAAACCAGAAAATATACTTATTACAGAAGACGGACATCTTAAAATTGCAGATTTCGGTTTAGGTAAAAGTATTAAAGATGAAAACTAGGTGACTTTTTCATTTCTTGGGACTCCAGAATATATAGCTCCTGAGATTATTAAATGTAAATAATCTTTTGAAAAAAACGGGTATACATTAAAATGCGATATATGGGCTTTTGGAATTTTGCTTTATGAATTAATTAATGGGTAACCACCTTTTACTAATCCTTAAAGAAACTGGAATGTTATTATGAAACAAATTTTGAATAATAATCCTATATTTAATTCAGATTTTAATGATGATAGTATTGATTTAATTAAAAAATGTCTTAATACTGAACCCAAATAAAGACCAAATTGGACTGAAATTAGAATTCATCCTTTTTTTTTGAATATAGATTGGGAAGGTATTTATATGTAAAAATATGAAAGTCCTCTTAGATAATTTATTACGCAAAAAAAAGTAAAATTATAAAGACCTAAACCTATTTTGGAAACTCCTATAGAAGATTATAATATAAATCTTCCGAATATTAATGGATTTACGTATGATCCGTAAACTCTTCCTAATAAAATTTCTATTTTGTGAATTTTTTTTGTCTTTTTAAAAGTAAATATTAATGCATTTTTTATTTATATATATATATATATATATATATTTTTTTTATTTATATATTTATATATATATCGGTGTTTTTAATAAAAAAAAAAATTATAAATGGGTTTGTTTAAAAGTAATTTTTTAAGTTTTTTGTTATAAAAATTTCAGGAATTTTTAATTTATTTAAAAAAAAGAAAAAAATACAATTAATTATATATTATTTTTTATTATAATATGTATATAAAATAATATTAGTTTTTAAATAAATATAAACACTCATTAGTTATCACTTTAATCTTAAAAATCTTCTTCATTTTCTTATAAGTCATTTAATTCTAATTCTAAACATTTTTAAATTTCTTTAATTTCTTCATCAAGTTCATTAATTTCATACTCTATAGGGATTTAATTATTAATATTTTTCTATATATCTTAACTTTTATTTATAGAATAATAATCATTACTATAACATAAACTATTTTTATTTTAAGGGTACTGAATTTATTTTCCTTAAAAAGAACTTTAAACAGCACTACTTTCTGCAAAAGTAATAAAGTTTTCTTAATCAGTATTATATTTCTTAGTTTTATTGTATTTTTTATTAATAGGTTAATTTTTTTCCTTTTCAAAACATGTATTATTATCATCTCCTATATCCTCTTATTTAAAGAATTATTTATTTGAAAGATTTTATTATTTAATTGAAGTAGGGCTTTTATTACCGAAAAAAGGCACTTCTTGGAGATTATTTTATAAGGTTTTTTTAGATTTTTATATAAGCTAAATTTAAGTTTATAAATTGTTTATTTTCGTGTTTTAACTTTGGATAGTTTTTTATTACTCATTTATTTTTTAACTCTAATTAATTATTTATTCATTTAATTTTTCAATTTCGGTTAAAAGAATTTCCTGTTCTTATTAAGTTTCTTCATATAATTTATTTATTTTATTTAATTATTCTTTTAAATGTTTTTTCTCATTTTCAGATTTTTGGTAATTAATTTATATTTTTCTTACTTTTATTTCATGTTCTTCTTTATCTTTATGTTTTTATTCTTAGAGTTCCTTAATTTTATCTCTCATTATTTTACTATTTTCTTTTAGCTTTTCTAGACTTTCTCTATAACGAGGAAGTACTTCTTTAGTGTAATTTTATTCTTTAATTATATCTTATTCGAGATTTTTTAATTAAGACTTTAATTCTTCATTTTCTTATTCGAATTTGAATGATATATTTTTTAAGTCTTCGAATATATATAATTCTATTATTTTGATTTTTTTTTTTTAAATAAAATAATATTTATTACCATCTTAATTAATTGTTCCTTTAATATCTAATATACCTTCAATATTTTAAAATATTTTACATACTTATCTTTTTTTTTTTATTTTTAATTTTTATTTTTATTTTATTTTTTTATACTAATTTATTTCTTAGCTTACAGTTAATTTTTATTGTTTTGATCCTATCATTAATGAACATTTTTTTATTAAATTTATTATTTTTTCATGCTATACTTCTGTTTATTCTTAATATTCGTCATATTTTTATTTTAGTTTTTCGAAATTATTTTTTAGTTTTATATTTACTTCTTATATATCTCCTTTACATTATTCGTTTTATTTTTATAATTGTTTATTTAAATAATTCAATTCATTCATTTTCATTTATTCCATAGAAAGTTTTTCTATTAATTCTTTACACTTTTTCTTTTTGTAATTTAAATAATAAATATTTTTTACATAAAAATAATATTTTTACCTTTGTTTTAATTTATTATTATTCCAAAATATTATTTTAATGTTATAATTAAGAATTTTCATGAGCCAAAATATTAGCTCTTGCTTATGCCTCTTTTAAATTTTTTTTAGTTCTTTTTTTTTTTTTTTTTATTATAATTTTTTTTTTTTTTTTTTTAACAAAAATAATTCTTTTTATATGAGTTTTGCATTTAATGTTTATGTATTATCATCATTCACAGTTTAATATAGATTTTATTCTGATATAATATTATATGGAATATTATCATCTTATGAATAATTAGAGTTATTTAATCGCGTATTTTATTTTTTTTATAATAATTATTTATATTAACTAAGATGTGCAGAAGGTGAATAATGAGTTTTTTCGTGTATTTATGATAATGAATTTTATTTACTTAGATATTATTTATTTTCAATATTTTATTGAAAATCTAATGTATTATTATTGTTCATTATAAATATAAGTTTTTTTTTTTTAATATATATATATTTTATTTTTGAAAAAAGAAAAAAAAAAAAAATTAATTTAAGTTTAAATAAATAAATCATATTTTTTTTTTTTTTTTCTTATTCCTTTTTTTTTTAAAAAAAAATAATAAAAATTTATCTATAAACATAAAAATAAAAAAAATATATTAATATTATATACATGAATTTATATAAAAAAAAAAAAATCAATTTTCAATTTTATTTTAGTTAATAACCCAATCATCTTACAAAATCTTTTGAAATTAAAAAAAGTTAAAAATTAAAAATAAATAAATAAGTTTTTACTTGCCAACTTTAAGGTCTATCTTCTGGATTTTGCGATAATAATTTTTTTAGTAAAGTTTTTGTTTAATTATCAACAAAAGAAGGTATTTAATAATTATTTTTTAGAATTTTCCTATATAGATCTTTTTCATCATAACCTTAATAATAAAATTTTAAATGAAAATTAATTATTAAAAAATAATACCTTTAAAAGGAAATTTCCCACAAACTAGGATATATAAAACAATACCACAACTCCATATATCTACCTTTTATCCCGAATATTCAACTTTCTTTATAATTTCAGGCGCCATATAACTTGGAGTTCCACAAAAGCTATTTAATTTTCTATCATGAGGGGAACAAACAGCAAATCCAAAGTCAATAATTTTAATATTAAGATCATCATCTAAAAGTAAATTTTCAAGTTTAATATCTCTATGACAGACATTTTTTTAATGAATATAATCAACTCCTTAAATTATTTATCTAAAAATCTTTTTTACATCATATATAAGGAGTTAGTTTTTTTTCTTATTTTTGAGATATTAATAAAGACTATTATTTCCAATATATTCCATTATCAAGTTAAGCTTTTTTAAAATAAAATAAAATCATAATAGGTTTTTTATTATATATTATATTTTTACAGAAGAAACAGTTTCAATTACATGATATAACATTATTATATTTTAATGTTTCATAGTATATAAAAGGTTAATTTCTCTACGCATATTTTTAAACTTGTTCGGATCTTAAAGTTTGAATTTTTCATATATTTTTAAAGCATATTTTTTACCATCACTTTTATCTATTACTAGTTTTACTTAGGCAAAAGAACCTTTTCCTATAACTTCTAGAATATCATAATTATCTAAGGTTATTTTTTAATTAATATTCTTTCTTTTATTTAAATATAATGCTGATTAAGGCTTTTTTATTTTAGGTTAAATTTCTAAATTTTCTAAAGTTGTTTAAATTATAGTATCACTTAATATTGTAGTTTTTTCTTTTTTTTAACAATTATTTTAAAGATTATTATAAATTTGTTTGAAAGGTAGTAAATTAACATTATTTATTTTCTCATTATAACTAAAGTTTTAATTTTTAGGGTTTTAACATGGAGTGAATTAACTGAATTTTCTTGTTTAATCTAATTAATTTATTTTATGTAATATATTTTTTTTTTACTTTTAGTTGAATAGTTTTAGAAAAGTCCTTGTATATTTTCTAAATTTAAATTATTAAAGTTATATTTCTTTGTAGTATATATATAAAAAAAAAATATATATATATATAAATATAAACATATAATAATTATAATAATTATTTAATTATTTATATAAAAATTTAATTATTTTAAAGAATTTATATATTTATATTTATATATATATATTATATATATATATTTATATATATTTTTATATATATACATTTAAAGTAGTATTTTATGTATTGTATTTTTTTTCTAGAAAATTATTATTAAATTGTCTTATATTTATTTTTTTATGACAATTTATTTTACTTTTATTTAAATTATTGCTTGTTATATTTTATGTTTTATTATTTTAAACTGTTTATTTAAATGGCAAATTTTAATTTAAATTTCTTTTAAAATTTTAAGCAAATCTTAGCTATCTTGTTTAATTTAGTTCTTGTTATTATAAATTTTCCTTTTAATCAATATCATTTGAATTATTTAATGTTTATTAACCTTATGTTTCGTTTTTTTTTAGTGATATATTTATAATTTATTTTTATTTATTTAATTTTCTATATCCTAGAAGTTTTTGTTTTTAAAAATATTTTTTCCTGTCTTAAGTGATACTTAAATATATTCTTTTTATGAAAAAATACGCTTTCTATTCATTTCTTCTTGAAGTTTATCTAAAGCTTATATAATTATTTTTTTATTGATTTTTAAATTATTTTTCACCTATATTTTAATAAGGAGAAAATTATTAGCCTTAGTTATTTGTGCGATATGAAATATTTATAGTATCATTTTAATTTTTAATGTCTTTTAATATATAAAATATATTTTATTATTTAATTAATTATACTAAAATTTTAAGTATTTAAATATTGGTTTTAAGGTTAAATTTAAGTTTGATTTTATTTTTCTATTTATTTTTAAAATTTCTATTATTTTTATGATTTATTTATTTCTTCATTTTTATAAAATAAGAAAATGTATTTTTTTATATTTAAAAACATTTTTTTAATTACTGTTTATTATGTTTTTAAAAATTTGATGATTAGCTTATTTTTTTATTGATTAATCTAATTTTTTATTACTCTAGGTGCGTGGAAACCTTGTTTAAATATTGTTTATCATATTCTTATACTTATTTTTATATTTTAATTAAATATATATATATATTTATTTTAAAAAAAAATATGATAAAATTAATTAATTTTATTAAATTTTTGTTTAAAAAATAAAAAAATTAAAAATTAAATAATTCAGTTAATAATAAATTATTATTATAATATAAATCTTTATATATAAGATTATATATTTATTATGAATTTTTAAATTATTTTTTTTTTTTCGAGAAAATTTTTTATATAAAGTTATCATTTATAATTCTTTTAATTTATATAGATTTTTGATATATTATTATTAAAAAATTATATATAAGTAAATTTTTTATATTAAAAATTAAATTTATTCTTTATTATTATATATAATAATATAAAATTAAATATTTTCGAATATAATTTGATTTTTTTAAAAATAAAAATCAATTATATTAATATTTAATTAGATTTTTAAAGCAAATATTCATATAAAAGATAACTAAATAAATATATTAAATAAAAAATAACTAATTTTACATGCTAATTGTTATAAAATGCAAAAATATAATTTTTTTTAAATGAAAAACTTTATTTAATAAATCTTAAATATAATTTTCATATAAAAACTTATAAAATTTTTCAATTTCTAAATAATCTTACATAATAAATTGAATTTAAAATATATTAATTAATAAATTTAATACAAAATATAAACATATTAATTACAAATAATTATTTCATTTATTGTAAATTCATCTAATCATTTTATTTTTCATAAATATATATGAGATAGAATAATTTATAGTTTAGCTTATTACAGATTAATAAAATATATTGATAAAAAAAAATTCTTTAATATATTATTAAGATTAGTTAAAAAAAATATTCTTCTATATAAAAAAAATTATTAAAGATTTACAAAAATATAAAATAAGAAAATATAAATTTTAAATACAAATATTATAACAATTTAAAATAAAATATAAAATAAACATTTAAAAAATAAAAAAAAAAAAAAAAATTTTAAAAGTAAAATACTATAGTATTAAATAATTTATATATAAATATAAAAATAATAATAAAAATTATATATGCATTTATATATATATATATATATATATATTATATATATGTATATATATAATTATAATATAAATATTATATAAATTTTTATTTTAATTTTTATTAAATATAATAACATTAGAAATATATGATTATATAAACATTAATTATCTATACATTTTTTATTAAAAATATTTTTTTATTTTAATTAACAATTTAATAAAAATAAATTAAAAACTATTATCATTAATAAAATTTATATATATATATATATATATTTATTAAATTAATTATTTTTTTACGTAGTAAATAATATAAATATTTTTTATATATTTATTAGTTTAATTAAAACTTAAAATAATTTATTTTATTATAAATTATCAATAAACTAATTTGAAAATCCTTTTTTTTATTTTATTCTTTTATTTAATTAACAAAAAATTTTACATTTTTAATTTTTTATTAAACGTATAATTATTTAAAGACTTTTTTTTTCTTAATTTCTTCCTTTTTTTTAAAAAAAAAATTAATTATTTATAATTACTATTTAGGGCAATATTGCTCTATACTAAAATAGAATTTAAAGTTTATTTTTTAAACCTCTTATATGTTATTTTAAGGTTTTTTTTTTTTCATATTAATTTTTTAAAAATATTTCTTCTTATTGTTTACCATAGTATTTTAACCTATAAAATTAACTATTTATATTAAAAAGTTTAATTTATTATCCATAAATGTTTATAATATCCCTAAATTTACTATTCTTATTATAAAAGCATTAAAAATAAATTTCGGGAATATTATATTTGTTTTATTTACAAAAAATTTTCCTAATGTAGAAATATTTAAACTTAAAAATTAATATCTTTTTTTCTATTAAACTGTTATTCTTTACAAAAATATATAAATAACTTACTTAAGTAAACTTCTTCGTCTGTTAATTTGTTTTTCAATTTTATATACTTAATTAATCAATATTTCTTTAAATATTTATAAAGTTTTTGTAAATTATTTATTTTTTGATTTACTTATTACTAAATCAAATATTTATTATTGTATTTGTTTTATATATTTAGAATTTATTTGTATATATTAAGATAAAAATTATGATAAAATGGCCTAAATTCATTTATTAAAGAAGGTATATATTTTATTAAGTTCTTTATTTTAAAAAAATATCACATATAATTAATTTTTATACTTATTTTTATATATGTATATTAGTAATAATAATATGTTTAGTAATTTTTTATTAGTTTTCATATTATTACCTTTCATATTAATAAAAAGAAAAGAAAAAAAAAAAAATGTTCAAAATTATTATTATAAATATATATATATATATATATATATATATATTTAATTTATAATTGAATAAAACCATTTTTTACTAATATATATATTTTATAGCTATATTAATTAATAAATTAATAATTTGACTCTTTTCAAAAGCTAGTAACTTATATATATTTTTATTTATTAATTATAAAGATAAATAAAAAATATATTTATAAAGCTTCTTAAATATTTTTTTGATAATATATTTTTTAATAGTTAAAAAAAAAAGTTAATGTTTTCATTTTTTTCTTATTTTATTTAATAATAAATATAATTTAAATTAGTAAAGTATATTTATAATATTATTAGTAAATAAATATAATTTTTTTTAAAAATATAGTATTTTTTATGTAAAAAAGATTAAATTATATATTGATAAAAATAAAAAACAGAATAAAATTATTAATTTATATCGTTTTTAAATTAAAATAATCAAATATAATATAGTTTTAACTAAAAATATATTCATTTACTATTATTATTATTATTATTATTATTATTATTATTATTATTATTATTATTATTATTATTATTATTATTTAGCGAATTTTCTATTTACATAATTAGTAATTAGGTTAATCTGTCCTTAAGATTTATGTCTAATCCTATAGAATAAAAAAAGAATATATAAATAAATAATAAATGTAAATATATATATTACCATATTATTAAATAAAATTAAGTGCTAATTATTCAGGTTAATCATCTTTATAAATAACAATTCTTTCTATTTAATCTCCGCCTAAATTAATATCAACATAAACCAAAGGATTACCATTAATTTAATTAACTTATTACTCTTAGTAATTTTATTAATTATTATTTTTATTTTATAAAATATCATTAAAATTCATTTATTTTTATTCCATTTAATTCATATCTAATAAAAAATATTTTAAATTAAAATATATAAAACAAAAAAATACCTTATTCTTATTATTATTAAGATTCATATTAAGTATTAGAAGTTTAATAATTT